TGGAAAATACAGGAGCAGGTATAAATATATGAAAGGATGGAAGTTGCCTTACAAAGTGTGAGGTCAGTCTAATGAGACAATTCACTTAACAGCAGGATACCAAGGGAGGAAAGATAACTTTTGAAGTGGGAATGAGAGTGGTCCATTTCAGACAGTTGACAAGAAGGTGTAATGATAGGTTTCAGAGTAGCAGCCGAGTTAATCTGTATCCGCAAAAAGAACAGGAGTACTTGTGGCACCTTAGAGACTAAATAATAATAAATTTGTTAGTCTCTAAGGTGCCACAAGTACTCCTGTTCTTTTTAAGAAGGTGTAAGTAACAGTAGGGGGAAATTAGTATTGGGGAAAATAGGTTTAGGTTTTGTAATGACCCAACCACTCCCAGTCTTTATAGAGGCCTAATCTGATGGTGTCCCTACTGTTACTCACACCTTCTTGTCAACTGTCTGAAATGGACCACTCTCATTACCACTTCAAAAGTTATCTTTCCTCTCTTGGTATCCTGCTGTTAAGTGAATTGTCTCGTTAGACTGACCTGAATCAATTTAAAAAAATCCGCCTCTAGAGGACACTCCCCACCAGCTCATAATAACACTTGAACATTTGTCAAATCCAAGACCTGAACAGGCTGAGTGTCTTATTTACATAACTGATGGATTGAAAAAAATTTACATAGTTTAAAAAATGTTATTTGACAACAAACCACAGGAAATACGCTCAACAGAGAGCACAATGAAAGAAATTGCAGGCTGTGAGATCACTACAGAGCTTAACCCATACAAAGTTCAGGTTAGGCTAGAACAAAGTTTGGACAACAGGGCACAACCACGTTGGTGTGTGTAGGAACAGTTGGTTAACCCTACCTGGCTTGCTCCTGTTGTTAACCTGATTCTTCTATAACTGCATTTTGTTCTAAATGAATATGCAACACTAAATGTTTTCTGCCTTGTTCATTTAAAGGACATGCATAATTTTATCTCAGCTCTTTCCCTTAGAGTCATGCAGATAATAGATTTGACTTTTTACATTGTGCAACCCCTAAAATGCATAAAAGAAAGGTTACAGTGGCATGCAGATAGAAAAGAATTTAATTAATCCCAAAGTGTGCACTTCATTGGGAAAGTATAGCACACAAGAACCCCGTGTTTACTGAACTAGATTCTTAGGGCCATTATACCTCAACCAATGACAGGATTTTTCTGAGAGTTTCATCCCTAGTGGTCATGCAGGCATTCCCATTAAAAATAAGATCTACACAGGGAACAATGACTAAGAAATGCTGAAGATGCTGTTCTCCCCTTGGCAGGAGTAATTGGTGCAATGGCATTTGGAGAAAAATGTCTGACTTCCAGTTCTGTGGATTTCTAACTTTTCTTGCTTCTGCACTGACTTCAAAAGCCCACATTTATCAAATGATTATAAATCAATCACTCATCAAGCCCCTTGGTTCTGTGTAATGGACATTGGGGCAGGAGGACCAGTTATCCACTATCCATTATGAGAAAGCTGCATTATGTCTGTCCGGCTCTCTTACAAAAAAAAAAAAAAAAAAAAGAACTTGATCTTCACTTGTGCTAATCAGCTGCCAGTTTATGAAAGAAATGTAATTTATTTTATTTTTAGAAATAGAATGGTTGGAAACAGGTTATGAGGCAGGTATTAATATATTAGAAAGTATCTCTACAGATTCATATTTTCAAATTAGAATGTTCAGTGGCAATATTCCTATTTTATCTGCAGCAAACATGCTTAAATGGTTCATAGTAAATTTGTCAGGAGTGAACATTTGGCGCCAACACCTCAAATACTGAAGTGAAAGACTGCTTTGAGGGACTCCTCAATGTTAATGAGCAATGTCTGTAACTTCCTGGAGGAAGTACTTCCAGACTCCCTTTGTAGTAATAGAAATGTTGAGTACATTAGGGATAAGTTATTTAATAAAATATCACCTTATTCATCTATAAAGCTCCTGTGTCCATGTCTTCTTGGAACATTTTATGTCACACCAAATATTTCCAAGTTGGAGAAAGGCTAACTGCTCCTCATGTGTCTTGGCAGCAACTGTCTTGTATTTGTGATTGAGGATGAAATCTCCAGATACGACTTAAAACTTTGACTGACAAATAGTTTATGGAAGATGAGAGAAATCAGACTGAACATTAAGATCAAAGTATACAAATGAGTCATTCACATTTCTTTATTGTATGCTTGTGAGACACATGGGCTACATATGAGCCTAACATCCAGCACTTTGAAGAGTTTCACCTATGTCTGAGCAAGATAATTCACAACAAATGGTAACATAGAGCTACAAAATACTGAACTAGAGGCAACTAACTGATGAAAGTTTTTTTCCTTTTCTAGTTTCTACAAACAGATTGCGTCACCTACATGCTCAACAACAGACCACTGCCTAGTGCTGTGTTCTCTTGCTAACTCAAGGAAGATAAGTAGTAGCACGACAGTCAGTGAAAATAATGTATAGATTTATTTAATGCTTCCTCTAAAACTACAAGAACTGAAGACTGACAAAGTCTTGAGAAAAAGGAGGCTATTGAAAAGCAACTGTATGTGCAAAGGGTCACATATAATATCACTAGCTGGAGAATAAAAGAAACAGTAAAGAGCTTGCAACACAAAAAGCTCAAATATGCCAGAATAAGTGATTTATACAGAAGCCAAATATGGCTATATCTGAGTATTCCAAACACTGCTGACTTGACAGCACATGCCCTGATACTGGAGCTGGCAGAGCCATTGTTGATCATGGCTAGTGGCCATTGGCTGACTGACAGCAATAGCACCAAGTCTTTTCTTTAAATTCCATTTCCTGTGGCAAGAGTAGTAAAATTTCTTGAAACTATATGGAACTAATTAGCAAAATTATGCTGGATACTGAAAAACCTCCTCCTCCTTTCCCAGATACTACAGGTTATTCTAGTACTGGAATAGTAGAAGTCTTCAGGTCAAGACAGATGCCCTGGCAGAGTGTGGACTGGAATAGTGGGCACAGGGTGTGTGTGTGTGGGGGGGGGGGGGAAATGGAGATTAGGACTGAGGTAAATTGGCAGAATGGTGTGGTGAAACTATACCTCTCTTTGTCTAGCCAGTACTATTGGTGCCTCATTTTTATGAGAGTTACAATTTACTTGGTTTAGTTTAAAATGCTCTAAAACTCACAAATGATTTAATGGACTCATACTGGATTTTATAAAAATAACTGAAAAAATACATCAAGGCTGTCAGTGTATATTCTGAATTTTAGCCTAATATGAACCAGCAAAGTTACGAAGTTCCCAAAATAAGGATTTATAATAAATCTCTTCTGTCACTCAATTTTTATTTTAACTGCAATTGCAATCTCAGCTCTGTTGTTACCAAATGTGGAACTGAACCAACACATAATATAGTCTAACTATGCAGTGAATTATTCAAATGATAATTTCATAAACCATTTTGAGAAGAAAATAAATTTTAAATAATAGTATTTTAAACTCTGAATGGTTACATGTCATGTGACCTAGATCAACATATATTTTTGCACTAAAATGGTGCAAGTTAATTATCTCCCGTGTATCACAAAGTACCTTAAACATAACAAGAATTACAGGACCTACTGTATGGAGCACCTAATGTGTAAGTAATTTATCAAGTGGAAACAAAATGCACTGCACTAATGCTCAGATAATACTCCTATGGAGTAGAAGAGTTTTTCTAATCAGAGTGGGGCAGTTTGTCCTGGAGCATGGGGTAAGACTGTAAATCCCTGGAGGAATAAATTTGACTAATTTTGAATGTTATGTGGAGGCTGCGGAGGTGAACACAAATGTCCAGTTTTCACCCATTACTAAATCTTAAAATCCTATGGGCTATAAATGGAACATAAGATCTGCATAACAATTAATTAATATAGGTTCCTCACTTCCAAAGCAGAATATGAGGCTGGTTTTATGATAAATTATATGGAGTCTGAAAAAGGTTCCTTGCAGCTAAATGCAGTGTTTTAATGTAGAAAGAGAGAACTGAGTTTATATTCCAGTGTTCATTTTATGGCTGTCAATCCATTCAGCTGAAATGTGCAAGACCCTTGATGGGTTTACGGGTTTATACCACACTGCAGCACAAATTGCACTTTTGTGGGAAACTACTAAATCAGCAGAGTTTCAGGTGCCAGAGGTCACCAAAAGGCCAACAATTCCCTTCCCAGATACCTTGTGTGCATATTGAGCTATTGGGTTTTTCAGACGGGCTGGTAACACCAAAGCTGAAGAAACTACCTCTGACATATTCAAAACTACACTAGCAATCTCTTTCTAGGAGAGAATTGATGCCGGAAGGAGAACTTTGAAGAGATTGTAGACTCCTCTTGTCCCTCTTCGTGCAATGCACCAGGCCATGCACTGCCTGAAAATAGTTTCACAAAGGGAAAAGTTACAGCTGGTATTAGCAGCTTAACTATGACAAGTCCCCCATTGGTGCTCTGGTTTGCAGAGGTCTATCAGTAAACTGGACCATTATTTACACATACCAACCCTTTCACCCCTCAGTCTGTCTCTCTTGCTCCTCATACCTTTTGCTTACCACAGAAATGCCCCTTTGCCCTGCACTCCTGCTGCCAAGAAGAGATGACACATAGGGTGACAGCAAGCAGATAATTATTACACACCTGGAATATTTTCAAGGAGAACTTTTGCTTTTGACTTTTGTGAGATGAAAATATTTTTCCCATAAGTAAGCATGAAAATATTCCAAGGAGGACTACATTACTAATAAGGATTTTCTTGCTTTCTATCAGTTGCCTCAGCTATTTCTGCTGCCATTGGATGCCCATTATGAAGGCCCTTCCACTATTTGGTCTTCTGCAGGTGTGATTAAATCTGTTTATTTCCTAATCCCTAAGCGGACCATCCTGCCTCAGTTATAAAGATAATTTCTCAGAATGAAATGGCAAATAAGAAATTATTCCATTGGGCATCTCAAAAGTGTTTACATAAAACATTATTTAAGAAAGAAAGAAGTGTCAGAGACATAAAAAGTAATATTTACTGCTGTTTTCAGGCCAGTTTTAACATTTTATACTGTGTGGAGCAAATACATATTACTAAGTCTGACGATGGCACAGTAGAGCAGTGCACTAACCTTTTCCCTCTGGAGGCTTCCATTGGATACAAGTGAAATGAGCTTGCTGGCCTCATCGCCTAGTTGCCTTTTTGTTCCCATCACAAAATGTCACTAAACAATGTCATGATTGTCAGCCTACTGAGAAAAGGGCCAGGCCTGGAATTAGAAGGTGCATTGTCAGAGAAGAGAGTGAGTGAGTGTGTGTGTGTTTTGCAGATCAGGAGCGAGGGGCACCAACATGACCTACTCTGGAACTGAAGAGGGTATTTTCTGAATGAAAAACTAATTCTTCCTCATTTGGGTGGTGGCATCTCACCTGAAGAGCAGAAGAAATGCAAAAGAAATAGCTACAGTGATGTATGCATTGAGCTATGCCCCACCTGCCTGAGGAGGGAAGGTGACTACAGTGTCTGGCCAGAGGGATGGGGTAGATGAATTCTCCAGCGCTCCAAAGAGAGCTCAGTTAATTGTACCTTTTATCTTCCTTACTGCCCCTCATTCCCTCAGGAGTGCTGTCATCTCTGGCTTTGGCATCCTACCAGTCACATATGAATTCATCTTGTTTTTTCATCACTAAAATGAAAAGGTTCCATAATCTTCCATCTGCAACACAGAGGAACACAAACAGCGCAAAGAATATTTTACTTAATTTGCTTTTTCAAATTTGAAGACCATCCCTCTCTGGACTGCTGTTTTTTGCTAGTTGTGTCCTCTGCTACAGAGGCATTCAATTGAAATTCTCTGATCAGCCTCCACTATGTTGATTCCAGGCACTAACCCAATATTTACCAGCATGCAGCTGAAAATGCTGTCAACATCCTCTAAGATCTGCCTGGAAGGAGGGAGCAATCAGGGTCTGTATCTTGCACAAAGAAATGACATGTGGCATGCAAATGTCTTTACTTTTTTTTTTTAAGTCCTGAATTTTAAAATCATACTTTATTTCTATGAGACAGAAGCAATAACATTGCTCCAGAAAAATGGACTTTACTTAAAGTTAAGACACAATTTCATATCACAGATGAACCAAATTAAAAAAAAAATAAGGCCTACAAAGTGAAAATGAAAAATCAATTTGCTCAAAAAGATAACGTGAAAGATTCGCAGGGGGGCTGGCAAATTTTGGAAGAAAAAAAGAGACTATATTTTATGGGAAGAGATTCAATAACCATTCTATTCCCATAATTCTAGTGATGGAGGACTGTCACTGCTCCATAGACACACAGTGCATATTTCAGGATCATAGTAACAGGAAATCAATAGCATCTTTTATATGTGAAGAGACATTCTCTCCATGGACTCCTAATACCAGCAACTGGAACCAAAGAAGACCTTTACTAAAATTTGGCAGACAGCATTAATCTTGGTGATAGGACAATGGGTAGAATATAACTCTAGATCTTTGGGTGTTTTTTTTTTTTGTAAGAAAGAACTTTGATCAAAGCTTCACCCTTCATTAAAGCCAAAGAGCCCCTAGATAATACTACATTAACAGTGTAACAATGTCTAACCCTGGCACTCTCCCTGAAAGCCCTATCCGCATACACTTCCTCTCTGGTTGATGGCTGTAATCATTAGGAGCTAGGAGCTTTATCAGGTGGTAATCTGACAGCTTTTACAAGATCAGCAGGATTTATGGGATCGTCTAGTTTTTCCCTCCATTCATCTGAAATGGAACTTAAGTTAATATTCGCAAAAATACTTTGTGCAGGGGCAATTTTCCAATGAAGAATGGGGGGGTCTAGTTGCTGAAATAATCGGCTAAACAAGGCCTCTTTTCAGACTCCAGATCACATGCTCTTACCATGTACAGAAGACCAGAGCAAATGGTTCCTCACAACTGTCCACCAGTTCAGATTAAAGTTGGATGAAGGAAGGGCAAAAACTTGTTATCTTTGGCTCTACAGCAGCAGAAAGTGGATAGACTCTGCTGAGAATCCTCTCTCCGTAGTAAGTATCAGAGGGATAGCTGTGTTAGTCTGGATCACATGTGTCTGATGAAGTGGGTATTCACCCATGAAAGCTTATGCTCCAATACATCTGTTAGTCTTAAAGGTGCCACAGGACTCTCTGTTGCTTTCTCCATAGTAAGTCAGGTCACTAAGACCATAGACTGGCACATACATGAATGCTTTTTTCCGCTTAAAATAAAAGTAATCCAAATTATGGATTTTCCAGGCATGGGTGCAGAACCCTAGTGCCTCTGAAAGCCCTACACCACCCCCCATCAGCATTCCCAGCTGGGAATCTTGCCGTCAGCAAAAAGAACTTGATGCACATTCATGGCCTCCAATATGCCTTTCTTCATGACCATTAGTAGGATGGCATTGTGCCTGCTCTCAAATTGGTCCATTTCACTTTGGATTAGAACTTTGAGAATGGGGCTGATTGCAGGAAGTTCCTCTTCTGTGACAGGATTGGCCCCATGTGATGCCTCTCTAAACAGGAGGGCTCCCTTTATCACCTTTCTTGGTTCTATCATGCTGCTCACTTCACCTGGAAAACCATCCCTTACCCTGTCCTCATCCACCACTCTTCCTCTTCTTCAGATCTCCTTAAAATCAACCACTTCATACCATCCTCCCCCTTTCATTCTCATCAGTAATTCTCTCCTTCTCCTGAATGGCTCTTCTAGGTCATGATGATTTACCTTCATTAGAATTTAATCTCTTTGGGGGAAGGGAGCATGTTTCTTTCTATGTTGCTCTAGATAAATAATGATGATATCTGTTCTTTATAAGTGGGCCATGCCTAATCCATTGAAACATACTGGCATGTACCAGCATGTAGAAAGAATCTGAAGAGTGAAGGCACTGAAGACATTGATGTCCCATGACATTTAGAAAACTGTCAGAGCTGCAGCAGAAAACTAGTAAGGCTACTTATAATATGGAATAGGAAATTAATATCCTAAACTAGGAAGGCTTTGGAGAGGCAATGTGAGGGGTATGCCATGACTGAGAAGAGTAAGGATCTACTCAGCCAGGAGTTGATTCCAGGGTTCTATTTCACTTGTTATAGCTGATGGCATCACTAACAAATCACATAGAACAGGGAGCTGCTTTCTTCATGCACCTTAAGCAGTCAGTGAGTCTGAGGCAAGAGAAACACTGTACCCTGAACTGAAGCCTTAGAACGTCAATAGAAAGGAAACAATCAAATATTTTGTTTTAAAATGTATTCATTTGTAGTTTGCAAGTCTAGTCATTTTTCCTGATAATAATTTAGGATCTTGAACAGTTTTTTGTATTAATTTGTTTAGAAAGCATCTGAATTCATCCTTTAAGCCATCAAGATCCTCTGTTCATGCATATAAAGAACGAGGGGGAAGTGTAAATAGATCTGACACAAGATGGGATGGCCTTCAGAATTTCCTGTGAGGGATCTGTCAATCTGTTGCATGCAAAACAATTTCATATAGTGGAAAGGCTCAGCTATGTAATTAGTGACAGTGTCTTTTAGCAACATGTTGGAAAGATCTGAGAGAGAGAGAACTCATAGTCACTTTCTGTCACTAACATCCCTAAGGATTGTGATTCCCCAGCCATGTTAGAAATAAAAGCACAACTGTTACTATCGGTACAGGACAAAACTCTCTGGGAAATAGGGCCCTGCAATGGCAATTCAAAACCTCAGAACTGTAGTCACTATTTTTGTTTTTTAGCACAGGCCGAGTCACTCTCAAATCATACGGAAAAAATGAATCTAGTAGGTGTGCTGAGTCAGGAGACGTGTATTGCCAAATATTGGATGACTCCTCTGTAGGGAGGGAAAATGAATTAATTCTTACTGGATTTCCCCTGAAAATGTGCCTTCATAGAAAGCTTGCTCTGAGTTGAGGAACTTATTTGATTTCAAAGAAGCTTATATTTCAAAATTTCCTTCGTCAACTGCATTGGAACCAGAAGAGTTGATTTAAGACTGAACGTACCTTTTAATTGTTTTCAAGTAAGGCTTCCATGATGATAAATCCAAAACAAAGTGGCTGAACTTTGGTGTAGGAAACCATGGCTTCATCTGCACATGAAATCATACTTTTATTAAGTTTTCTTTTAGTAGCTGTCTATCTTACAGGGCAAAGCTCTCATTCTAACATAACATACAAAAATCAAGGGACTAGTTATAGGGCACTATGCAGCCTAAAGGGAAGAAAAGCCCCTATTTTGCTTCATGGTATCCTTGTCAAAACAACAACACACACCAAATACAAAATCTGCCTGTCATTAAGTGTTATAGCCAGTCACAATTTGGTGTACAGCCCAGGGAGTCGTTCTGTTTGAATTTCATAGGCCCCTATACATTGTGACATGAATTTTTCTGTCCAGTTCAATATTTTGATGGGACTGCATGGGTGCCCTCTGGTGGTTAATTTGCCACCCAAACAGTCAGTTTGTTGTTTTGGAGACCAAACACTGTGCATGTAGATTTCTAGTGTAAATCCAGTGTAACTGTTGATTTGAATAGAATTACTCTGGATTTTCCCTGCTGCAACTAAGAACAGGATTTGGCCCTCAAATAACTCACCCATTCCTAAATTTTCCGTTGCTGTAGATCTCACACTTTCCTTTATATTGCAGGTATTCATTTCCTCACCTTGGTATTCTGTACTGATCAAAGACTTTGACTAGTAATATTATTTCATCAGTACACCAAGATCTCTCTCAAACAATTTTCGTAAGTCACACATCAGCAGTAGTTTTTGTGAAATAGAACTTGCTTCTGTTTAGAAAAGTCCTTTCAGACTCATCATGTAGTTAACCTAATGGAGAAACAATTGTCCTCTCATCAATGCATGCAGCCAACTGTATCAGGAGTAATGCTGACAAGTGACACTAAACATTCCCTTTATCTTGCATGTATCAAAGAGCCCTCTGGTGCTCTATCTATCTAGGTATGTATACAGAATGTGAGAGCCATATGGTACAGAGGTAGGACTGGATAGTTTTCCTCCTTTCCATTCTAAACTCATTTTCCAACATGTTCTGTGTCTAGGGAGCTAAAGACAGGCAGATAATGTCGTCAAGCCACCTATAATACAGATCATGCGTGGGACAACCAAGGCTGTTCTTCCTCCTTTTCTTCTCTCATCTAAAAACTATTGATTTCTGAGAGCTATGGACTGAGCACCCAAATGAGTTGTGCTCTACTGGCTTTCACCCCTCCTGCTTTTCACTCTACTCTGTTTTGCTGCTGTCATATCCACTATCTGCATGTTTTTCCACCTGCTGGCATTTTTGATTGCTTTGTTGGTAGACAATGATAACAGAAAACAACTACCTCAATTGAGAAGTGACCAGAAGGGGTAAATACATGGAGTTCAAACATCTTGTAAAAACAAAATACCACATCAAAAAATGAATGAGTGAAGTGATCGTCTCAGGAAAATGCACAGTTTAACACTACCTTAGAAGTTGTGTTATTTTGTGTCTTGCTGCATATTTTAGAGGGACAAAATAAGCAGCTGAGTAAAACTGACATTGGGACTTGCTCCCTAATCCAACAGGGAGAGAGGTGGATTCCTCCCTATGGGCATATTTGGTTCTATAGTAAAATGAAACCCAACCTCTCTCTTTCTCTCTAGGTTTTTATACTGTATTCCTCAGCATGATATCTGAGCACCTGTTGTTACAGGTGGGCATATCTCTATTGCTCCAAAGAGGAGAATACAGAGTGAATTAAATGCACCTACACCCTTAAGTTAGACACATGTAATAGTAATAGACTAGCATTGGGCCTTTTGACCACTATCCATACATTTGAAGCTAATGATATTGAATCACTCTTAAGCAGTTTTTGTAGCCATCTTGTTTCTATGTCAGTAAGCAACAGGGAGGCAGGTGGAATGGAGACTGAGATACTAATGCTGCAGCTTTCCTGGAAGCTTAGAGATTCCCTTGTGAAGATGATTTTAAAATGACCATATTCAGCAAAGTTTTCTGCCCTGTCTCACTGAGTCAGCCTGCTATCCAAGTGTGCAGAAGAAGGGAGAGCAGTCAGAAACTGATAAAAATAGCACTAAATTCCTGTCTTGACTCAATGACAAGAGAATAATAAAAAGATTATAGGTAATTTCTCTTTATGAATTATAGAGAAGGGCTTAGATTCAGCAGTGACACAGAAGAGCCTGGACAGATTGCTCAGCTGCCTCTCCCAATAATGTCACTATCATTCAAAGGGAAACAAATGACCTCCAGGATAAACTCTGAGTACAGCACAGCAGGGCTGTGAAGCTGTTAAACACAGGGGCAGTCTCCTAAATACCCAAACAGTTTCTATCCTATGAGAGCAAATGGTCTGTGTCATTTTGAATGTGAACCAGAATAAATTTACTTGTAACTTCTGTTTAAAGATAAGAGAATGTGATAATAGATTTTAGACTTTGCTTTACTGCTGTCATATAATTTTTTTTCTGACTATACCTCAATGGGGAGAATACAGCAAATCCGTAGGGCAAGGAACTGAAATATGAAGTTGAACTTTGTCAGATGTTCTGCTGTGAGGGTTTTTCTGTGTGTTACAAAACTGTATTTCCATTATTTCTCCCATCATATAATTGGCTTCTTCAAAAGGAGAGAAACAATGTCCATTTCCTCAAGATGGAAGTCTATAATAAACACATCTCAGCCCTGGACTAAGTTTATGACTGGCCTTCTATTTATCCAGTCACATTCCAAACTGCTCCAGTGCTAAACAACCTATAAAGGATAAAGAGAGCACCTACACTCCAGGAAATTTATCCTGTCTGAAAATTGCCTGAGAGGTGCCCTCATTGAAGCACAATCTGAGGTTCATCGAAAGATTTTGCCATCCTCTCATCATGCTGCTTCTTAGTGAGTGCCTGAGTCAGGTCTGATGGTATCTGGCATGTGATGTGGATAAGGGAGAGCAAAAATGGAGCATATAGCATTTTCAATGTGGAACCAGCATGACAGTGGGCAAAGCATTTATTATACTTCAGGGAACCCCCGTCTAAAAATCTGCAAGGGTACAAAAAGACTCCAGGTACAATTGGGCTAACTGCACTTACCTCCAAGAAGAAGAATGAAAGGAGAGCAGTTAAGTCATGGTAAATGTTAGATTTCTAAAGGCAGAACACAACTGCATGCTTCTGTGTCCCCAGTCAGCAGTAGACTGGAGTTAATTAATATATTAAGACTCAGTATGTATATAAAATCTTGCACTTTTCATTTTGCAGATGCTTTACAGACATTAGCTAATTACACCTCACAATATCACTGTGAGCTGGATAAGTATCATTATCCCCATTCTGCACTTAGAGAAGTGAAGTGACTTGTTAAAGGTCAGAGGAATCAGTGTCAAAGGCAGGGTTAGAACTTGGAACTATATTTTAGGTGGGCTACTAACCAGGATCATGTCTCTAATAAAAATCTCTAGCACAGGGGTGGGCAAACTATGGCCCAAGGGCCACATCTGGCCTGTGGGACCGTCCTGCCCGGCCCCCAAGCTCCTGACCTGGGAGGCTCGCCCCCGGCCCCTCCCCTGCTGTTCCCCCGCCCCCACAGCCTCAGCTCACTCCGCAACCGGCGCACTGCTCTGGGTGGTGAGCTCCTGGGGCAGCGCAGCTGCAGAACTTGGCCAGCCACCGGTGCTCCAGGCAGCGCGGTAAGGGGGGCAGGGAACAGGGGGGGTTGGATAGAGGGCAGGGAGTTTGGGGTGGTGGTCAGGGGGCGGGGGTGTGGATGGTGGTCGGGGGGAAACAGGGGGTTGAATGGGGGCACGGGTTCTGGGGGGCAGTCAGGAAGGAGGGGGGATTGGATGGGGCAGCAGTCGGAGCAGGCGTTCTAGGGACAGGGAGAAGGGGTGGTTGGATGGGGCAGGGGTCCCGGGGGGCGGTCAGGAATGAGAGGAGGGGTTGGATGGGGCGGCGGGAATCCGGAGGCAGTCAGGGGACAGGGGTGTGTGGATGGGGCAGAGGTCCTAGAGGGGCAGTCAGGGAATGGGGGGGTTGGATGGGGCAGGAGATCGGGGGGGGGGGGCACGACCCCCTCCCCTAACCGACCCTCCATACAATTTACGAAAACCGATGTGGCCCTCAGGCCAGAAAGTTTGCCCCCTCCCAACCCCCCCGCTCTAGCATCTTTTTTTAAAAACAGGGATCCTGGTTCAAAGTCTACATCTAATTTATTACATACACCCAAATTATCCTGTCCCATCATGAAATGTGTGAATATTGGAGTTCCTGTCCTCACTTTGGTTGTTCCAAAGTCCTATCAGGGGCAATAATCTACCTTGGACATCACATACGCCAAAACACTTGCGATCTGCTTCAAGGAGGGCAAAGATGACTTTCCACACACTCTCTTCAGAAGGACTGAAGTGACAAGACATGGATTTCTCGGGCCTGCCAGGAAGTGGCTCAAGTTTTCCAGCAGGTGTAGTACAGACGGGGGGACAGCAATGGATGTTTGCTGTAGGTTTCAGAGAAACATTATAGCGCCATTAGAGACGGTTGGAGAAGTATTAGCCGGGTGAGCACATCGCTCCAAACCTCTTACCCCGCTTTTCCTGACTCCCTCCCGCCCCTGGGTCATGTCCCAGACACTGACCCGCTGGACATGACAGAACGGGAGCCGGGTCATGACGTGCCCGGGGCCCCCCATGCGAGCGTGACTCGAGGCATCCACGTCCATGGCGCTTCCCCTGAACCTGCCCCGCGCCACTGAGTGACGGCGCCTCAGCCCGCGGGCTCGCGAGCGCTGACGAGGGGGTTGTGAAACACGCTGGCGGTAACGGGAGGGGCCTGAGCGGCTCGCTCCGCGGCGGGAGGAACAGGGCACCCGCCGCAGTTACCCGCCCCCCGGATGAATCACCACACGGGCCGGGCGCGCGGCTCCAGCCTTTTCCCGCCCAACTCCAGACTCGCGGGCTAACGCAACGGAGCGCATGCGCGCTAGAAGTGAGCCCATTCGCTGACTTCACACGCGCACCGTCTTCTTGACATCTGCCACCACGTGATCCCTCCCGCCCGCCGGCATCACTGCTCCTCGCTGCGCATGTTCCTCGGCGTCGTCTCAGCGCCCGCTCGGTGGACGACACGCGTGCGCGCTGCCTCCTGATGCTCCGCCGCTCCGCCGGGGGCGCTGTGGCGGTGGCGCGACCTCCTCTGCCGTCCGCCCGGCTCTCTTCTGACCCTAGTCCCGCCCCAGCGCGGGGTGAGAGGTCGGCAAGATGGCGGCGGCCTTGGGGGAGGAGGCGCCGGACAACGAGGATTATTACTCGCTGCTGAACGTGCGGCGGGAGGTGAGGGCGGCGGGCCGCGCCGGGCCGGGGCGTGGCGGCACTGGTGGGGGGCGCCGGGCGGAGGGAGAGGCCTGGGGAGAGGACTGTGACCCCGCTGCCCGACTGGCCCCCACCTCTCCGGTCGGCTCCCTTGCGGGCCCCGTCAGCGGGGGCGGCGGAGTTTGTACCTGTCCGTCCCCCCCCCCCCGATACCCCCATCCCCGGGCTCCCCTCAGGGGCCTCTGCTCGCGGGGGCGGACCCGAGACCCACCCGTTTCCTGCGCTCCGTCCGGTGCAGGCTGTGACCTCCGGCGCCTGGAGGGAGCGCCCCGGGCTCCCCCGCTCTCGTCCTCCCCAAGGGAGGCGGGAAGGGACCCGCTAGCCTGAGCGCCTGGCGAGCGCTGGCCAGAGAGACCGGCCCCAGCTCATTCCTAGAGCAGATAACTTAGTAAAACCTCCCGGGTTGAGTTAAACACTGTCAGGGATGGAGAATCCACATCCCCCGGCCCTTGGTAAGCTGTCCTGCTGGTTAACTGCCCTCCCTGTTGTTTCCAGTTTGAATTTGTCTAGCTTCAGCTTTCAGCCACTGGTCCCGTTGTACCTTTCTTTGCTAGACTGAAGAGCTCTATTAAATATTTGTCCCCTCCTCCCATAGTGACTTATAGACTAATCAAATCACCCCTTAACCTTATCTTTATTAAGCTAAATCAATAGTTCTCAACCTTTCCAGATGACTGTACCCCTTTCAGGAGTCTGAGTTGTCTTGTGTACCCCCAGTTTAGGGTGACCAGGTGTCCAGATTTTATAGGGACAGTCCTGATATTTGGGTCTTTTTTTTATTTTGGCTCCTGTTACTCCCACCCCATCCTGATTTTTCACACTTGCTATCTGGTCATCCTACCCCAGTTTCATCTCACTTAAAAATAACTACTTGCTTATAAAGCCAAACATAAAAGCACAAAAGTGTCACAGCACACTAGTACTGAAAAATTGCTTACTTTCTCGTTTTTATCATATACTTATAAAATAAATTGGAATATAAATCTTGTACTTTTCTGTGTATCATATATACAGCAATATAAACAAGTCATTGTCTGTTTGAAATTTTAATTTGTACTGAGTTCTCTAGTGCATTTTTATGTATCCTGTTGTAAAACAATGTGAATATCCAGATAAGTTGATGTACCTAACCCCTTGCAGACCTCTGCGTACCCCTGGTTGAGAACCACTGGGTTCTCAAATAGATTGAGCTCCTTGAATCTATCACTATATGCATGTGTTCTAATCCTTTATCATTCTGGTGGCTATTCTCTGATAATTCCTCTTCAATTTATCAACACCTTTCTTGAAGTGTGAGCACCAGAACTGGACACAGTAGTCTAGCTATGGCTGCAACTGTTCCCAATACAGAGGTAAAATAACCTCTACTCCTGGAGTCCTCTGTTTATGCATCCCATGATTGCATTAGCTCTTTTGGCCATAGAGTCACATTGGGAGCTCATGTTCAGCTCATTATCCACCATGACCCCAAATCTTTTTCAGAGTCACTGCTTTCCAGGATAGAGTCCCCCATTCTATAAGTATGGCCTACATTCTTTGTTCCCAGATGTGCATATTTACATTAAACCATTAAAACACATATTTCCCTGTGCCCAGCTTACCACTTATTGCACCCAGTTTATCAAGGAATCTAGACCACTCAGAATCAATGACCTTTCCTCTTCATTATTTATCCTTCCCCCAATTTTTGTGATCTGCAAACTTTAGCAGTGATGCTTTTATATTGTCTTCCAGGTCATTGAAAAAAGAGGTCACATAGCGTAGGGGCAAGAACCAATCCCTGTGGGATTTCACTGGAAACAGACTCGCTCAGTGACGATTCCCTGTTTAGTTATATTTTGAGACCTATCAGTTAACCAGTTTTTAGTCCATTTAATGAGTGTCATGTTAATTTTATACTGTTCTAGTTTTTTAATCAAAATGTGCAGTACCAAGTCAAGACAAACACCTTACAGAATTCTGTTGCATCAACGCTATTACTTTTATCGATCAAACTTGTAATTTTGTCAAAAAAAGGTATCAAGTTAGTTTGACAGGATCTGTTTTCCATAAATCCATTGTTGATTTGTATTAATTACATTACCCTTCTTTAATTCTTTATTAATCAAGTCCTGCATCTGCTGTTCCACTGTCTTGCCCAGAATCAATGTCAGGCTGCCAGGTCTTTAATTACCCGGGTCATCCCTTTTACCATTTTTAAAAATTGGCACAACGTTAGCTTTCTTTCAGTCTTCTGGAACTTCCCTAGTGCTCCAAGACTTACTGGAAAAAAACATTAATGGTCCAGCAAGCTCCTCTGCCAAGTTTTGTAAAATTTTTGGATGCAAGTTGTCTGGACCTGCTGATTTAATAATGTTTAACCTTAGTAGCTGCTGGTTAACATTCTCTAGAGCAGTGGTCACCAACCTGTTGTTTGCGATTGGTTGGTCGATCCTGGGGACCCCGTCTGCTAAAGCAGGCTCTCTGCCTGCCGCGGCTCCACGCCGCTCCCCGAAGCGGCCAGCATGCCCCTGCGGCCCTGGGGGTGGGGCATGGGTCTCTATGTGCTGCTCCTGCCTGCAAGCACTGCCCTCGCAGTTCCCATTGGCTGGGAACGGGAAACTGTGACCAATGGGATCTTTGGGGTCGGTGCCGGCAGAGAGGGGCAGTGCGCAGAGCAGCCCCCCTCTCCCCCTCCCCCAGGCTTCAGTGACATGTTGACTCCTCCAGCAGCCCATCAGGGAAATCCACTAGCGGGCCCGGCCGGTTTGTTTACCTGCAGCGTCCACAGGTTGAGCCAATCGCAGCTCCTACTTGCTGCGGTTTGCTGTCCCAGGCCAATGGGGGCTGCGGGAAGCAGCGTGGGCCAAGGGACGTGCTGGCTGCCGCTTCCCACAGCTCCTATTGGCCTGGAACGGCGAACCGCGGTCAGTGGGAGCTGCGATCAACCGAACCTGCAGACGCTGCTCGTAAACAAACTGTCCCGGCTTGCCAACGGATTTCCCTGACGGGCCGTGTGCCAAGGGTTGTCGATCCCTGCCATACTCCCTCCTGCACCCCAAGCACCAGCCCTGAGCCCCCTCCCAGAGCCAGCACCCAATACCCCCTTCTGCATCCCTGCCCCAACCCTGAGCCCCCTCCCAGAGTCAGCACCCCCTCCTGCACCCCAACACTCTGCCCCAACCCAGAGCCCTCTCTTGCACCCAAACACCCTCCCAGAGCTTGCACCCCTCACACCCTCCTGCACCCCTGCCCCAGGCTCAGCCCAGAGCCCCCTCCCACACTGCGAATCCCTCGGGCCCAGCCCAGAGCCCGCACCGCCTCCCAAACCCCTGCCCCAGCCTGGTGAAAGTGAGTGAGGGTGGGGGGCAGCGAGTGACCTGGGGGGGAGGGGTGGAGTGGACGGGGCTTTGAGGAAGGTGGGGGGCGCTCAGGGAACAGGCAGGGTAGAACTTGGGTTGCCCTTAAATTCAAAAAGGTAACCTTGGGCATAAAAAGGTTGGAGACTACTGCTCTAGAGTTATGGACTAGGAAGAGTGTTATCACCATATGATGAAACTGCATGATTTGTTTTTTTTTAATACAGAACAGAAATATTTATTGAACACTTCTGCCTTTTCTGCATTATTATTGATAATTCTATCACTTCTGCCTAGTAATGGACTGATACTATTGGTGAGATTCTTTCTGTTCCTAATATAATTTAAAAACTCCTCCTTATCATCCTTAACTCTGCTGGCCATATATTTCTATTTGTGTCCCTTGATTTCCCTTATCAAATTTCTACATTTCCTAACTTCTGGTTTATACTTATTACTATCAACTTCCCCTTTCTTACATTTGTTATATATTTTTAATTTTTTTACAGCTGCCTTCACTTCTCCTTTAAATCAGGTTGGTTTTTTAACCAGCACAGCCTTTTTCCTCAATTGTGGGATTGTGGCTTTCTGGACATCTAGCAAATTCTTAAATGATTCCCAATTACACTGGTCTATAATTTTTGAGAAGTCATCTGCTCCAGAGATAAAATGTGCTATTTATTATGTATTTTGATGTGCTGAATTCAAATATGACCATTAAAACAACTGGCTACTGTTTCTTAGATATTTGTTTTGACATTTTATGTCTATGTATATTGTGTAGATAGTAGAGTTTTAATCATAAATTGTAAACCTGGGTCTTTTCATGTGTTTATGGTTGCTTTACATGATAATATTTCACCTGTCCTGTTTATGTAACACTTTAAAAATCAGCAAAAGGGTTATATAAATAACATTTATTATGAAACAAAAGGCAAAAAACTATTATGTACATAGTTTAGTCCTATTCAGTGTCTACTCGGCACTTCTTGGCTTGTCTCTTGTATTCATTAAATGGAGCATCTCTTGTCACTGTCCAGCAATAGTCTGCAAGCATTGATGGGCTCCATTTGCCCTGATAGCGTTTCTCCATTGTCCTGGTGAAATCGCTCACCGTGCTCGTCGCTCACTGCTCCACAGTTCGGTGGAAAAAAATCTAGACGAGAGTGCAAAAAATGTATCTTTAGTGACATGTTGCAACCAAGTCTTTTGTATGCCTTGAGGAGGTTTTCCACCAACAACCTGTAGTTGTCTGCCTTGTTGTTTCCGAGAAAATTTATTGCCACTAACTGGAAGGCTTTCCATGCCATCTTTTCCTTGCCACGCAGTGCATGGTCAAATGCATCATCTCAAAGAAGTTCATGAATCTGAGGACCAACAAAGACACCGTCTTTTATCTTAGCTTCACTTAACCTTGGAAATTTTCCACAGAGGTACTTGAAAGCCGCTTTTGTTTTGTCAATGGCCTATGATAAAGTTCTTCATCAGACTCAGCTTGATGTGTAAGAGTGGTAACAAAATCTTCCTTGATTCAACAAGTGGTGGATGCTGAACACTTTTCCTCCCAGGCTCCAATGACTGTCGGAGTGGCCAATCTTTCTTGATGTAGTGGGAATCTCTTGC